TTGTTTCTGTGATGGCCCCGTGGGGCAATATTTTCATTTCAATTTGTGTCACCTTCGGGGCACTGTTCAATTTTCGATTTTGATAGCTCAAATCCCGGTTGCAGCTTCTGCTGCTGCAGCTGCTGTCGCTGACGTCACTCGCCCACAATTGTCTTGTTACAAATTGTATACAAATTATGCAGCTTTTGTAATCCTAGCTCAAATCGTCTTTGAAATGCCCCCCCGCAGTCACTGTTAACAGTTCGCTCTCCCTCTCCCTCTCCCTCTCTCTTGCTCTCATTCTCTCTCTATCTCGCATTGATCGCCGGCTTTTGTTGAGTGCAAAATAAAAAATAAAAAAAAAGTTCACGTTTCGCATTTGCCTTTTGTTACGATTCGCATTTTATTTAATTTTAGCGAAACGAAACGAAACGACAAAAATACACACAATTTGTGGACTTTGGACACCTTCGCTGTCAACGTCGTCGTCGCAGTCGCGGTCGCCGTTGACGGCAATGTTTTTGTTGTGTGTTGAATGAATTTAGCAATTATTGTTGTTGAATTTTTGTTATATTTCACTGGCATTGTTGCTAAGCTGCCACGTTTTGCGCTCAAGAATACATAATATTGTTTTTGGATATGATTAATAAATATTATATTAAAGAAACAATACATTTTCCACTCAAACAGTTTAAACAGCAAATCGAGCACATTTGAATGATGTGTGAATCAATTCATATTGTAATATAAATTCCAACTGAAATAATCACTTTCAAGTGGAGACATTTTATTGCCAATATTTTGCTCGTCATTTCAGATTAACGCAATTATTGTTAACGCATTTCTGGCAAACATTTCCAATTACCAAAGTTTCTCGAGTCATCGAACTAACGAGTCGGTTTGAATGCACTCGTGAATGCGACGACGACGACGACGACGACGACGACTCGAAACGATGCAAAACAATCAACTAATTAAGGCATAAATGCCGTTGACAGTTGCATCTTTTGTGGTAACAGAGGTTTTTGAGGGGGGGACTGAGACTGAGGCGCGACTGAGACTGAGACTGTTTCACATGCAAAACGCAATTAATTATACATAATCCAGTTAGCAGATCGATTTACATGCAATGCCTAACAAGTCTTCAATCTCAATCACAATTCGAACACTTAGAAAAATAATATATTGGAAATCTACGTAATTTTTGTGCGTAATTTCTTTCGCATCGATTTTGTATTATTTAAAATATAAGATTTTACTGAAAAGTCGACATATCAAAATCAGATATATGTTTATTCAGATATATGTTTATTCAGCTGCTTGATCTATGTGCCCAAAAATAAATAATAATTCAAAAACAAATAGAAAACACTTTCAGCAAAATATTTCTTTTAACTTTTGCCTTTGAGAAGTTTAGTTGCCCCAATTTATTTCTGACTGTACTCACACAGGCATAATCTGTCTCGTCACCTTCTTCTGCCTGGGCTTCATTATCGTTTCCATTGTGTGTCATCATTTGCCATTGCTCTGGGGCCGGAAGTAGAAGTGGAAGTGGAAGTGGATGTGTCTCCCAGGCCGCCGTCACTGACAGACTGTGCAACCACAGCTCAGAACGCCTTCAGGGTCACAGTTTGTTGTTCTTGTTGTTGTTAGCTCAATTTCAGAGTCTATGTGTGTGTGTGTGTGTGTGTGTGTGTGTGTGTGTGTGTGTGTGGGTGAAGGGTGGCAGCATCTACTTGAACAAGCAAAACCATTCACATGCATCTAATGAAGCCACTCGAGAGAACCTCTGATTTGAAACAATGAAATGCTGTACACTTTTCTCAATTGATTGTCTTTAAGAACTGGTATTATTATTGGTTATTAAAGTTATTAGTTAGTTATCTTAACTATATATAAATATTTAATATCAATAATTCTCTCAATTAATTGACTTTAATAGCCAATATTATTGTTTATTGTAGTTATTATTTGCAGCAACATCAACAATACCAAAATTGATAGCAATCTTCTCAATTGATTGACTTAAGTTAACATTTTACCGTAACTAATATTAATAATAATATCCATAAAATGCAAATTAATTTAGCTGAAAATGCACTGGAATTATTTAAATAAATTATATCAAAGTTTTATTAATTGCTTGCAAAGTTTAATCAGTAATCAGTGAGTAATTTAAGCACATCATTTCCACAACTGGTTTTCTCCACTCTACTTTAACTAAAAGTATAAAAAACACACTCTTAAATATTTATGCAATAATTTAATACAAATTTGGTTCAATGTCAGAGATATTAACTGCACTTAAGTCATATTTTTTGAAGGATAACAGCAAGGATAACAGCCTCAATTTGCCATCAAATTTGATATGAGCCACTTGGGTTAGCAACAAGTAATCGCATTAAAATTTAACAACTTTAATTAGTAATCAGGAGCACGTTGCCATTAGAAACGTTTAATAAAATTAAAATATATATTTATGTTTATTACACGGCCGCAAGTTGCTTTCGCATCAGCGCACAATTTGCCAAGTTGTTGTTTATAGCCATGGCTAATTCCAGTCGCACACACAGACTATATACACACCCCCACAGGCAGAGACAGAGAGAGAGAGAGAGATAGAGAGAGAGAGAGAGACAGAGAGAGAGAGAGAGAGAGAGAGAGGGAGAGAGAGTGGTTCATCTGAAATTCTGCGGCTGTCTAATTGGAAAGTGAAAATGTGCGAGGCGCTGACGCGTGACTCCTTCGGAGAGCAACTTGTTGCCTTGGCTACCTGGCGGCATGCCTCTTGGCCCCAGAAGTTGCCTCATTATGCAAAGTGCTCGCTGTGCTTTGAGCGGCAGCAACAGCAACAGCAGCAGCAGCAGCAGCAGCAGCAGCAGCGGTCGGACTTGTGCCACTTGTCACAACAGTTACGGGGGTGTGTTGAGCCTGTTTTTTGGGGGGGTGTGCAGCGGGGGCAGGAGCAGCAGCAGGAGCAGAATCATTGCGTGTGTTGACGCAAACGAAAATGCGAAATTGTTGTTGTTGTTGCTGTTGTTGCTGTTGTTGTTGGGCATTTCGAATTTGTGTGCGCTGTGCAAATTTCATTTCATTTCAAATCCGTTTTTTTTCTTCTCTTCTTTCCTGACCCAAGCAGTTCATGCAACTGCCACAAGCGGGGAGAGCACGGCTGACGCACTACAAAAAATATATATATTATATTATATATTAAAATTTATTAAGTTAAAATGTTCAACTGCACAGCTGACGGACAGCTGAAAGAGCTGCTTAAATGATGCACTTTAAATAATTATTTTTGTACTTAAGTGAAGAATTGCTGACTTCCAGTCAATTGTTCAAGTGCCAAGCATGCTCGAAGTTAAAGTTAAGTGTGCAGATTACTTGACTTTTTCGGGCAGTGTAGATGCTCGGCATGCCAGAGCCGGATTGTCAGCTATATCCAAAGGACAACATCGTCATCGGGTTGACTATGCTGATTTGCAGTTGGTTATGTCGTCGTCTGCTGTTGTTGTTGTTGTTGTTGTTATTGTTGTTGTTGCTGTTGTTATTGTTGTTGTTGCTGTTGTCATTTGTTGTTGTTGTTGCTGTCATTTGTTGTTGTTGCTTTCGTGCTCGTTGTTGTTTTTAGATGTCGATTTAGTTGTCCTCAGCTCTACCCTTTAATCGGGTCTATAAATAAGGTCTTATGAATATTTATTTGCTTTTGTTTATTACAAGTGGATACAGTTTGCAGAAAAAAATAAGAAAACAACATTTAAAATTATAATGCAATTGACAAATATATTCACCGTTATTCAAAGTTTGCACAATAGAAAATTTGGAATTGCATTTCTTTGAAATTTTTCTTCAATCTTCATTAACGTTGGCAAATTATAAGAAATATTTAAAGTGTTTTTCATAATTTTCTTACTTTTTTCTTTTTCATATTTGTTGGAAGCATAACAAATTATTGACTGCAAAATGTGGCTCAGTTTGCTAAATTAATTTTAATGATTTTAGATTAAGCAGGATATCTTCGAGTCTATCATTGGCTGCTGCCAAAGTTGTTTTCTTCCTTTTTTTATTATATAGAACTTGAAGCTTTCCGTTGTCAACGCTGACGTGCAGCAAACATTTGAATTTGTTCCATTCGGAATGATGACACACACTCTCGTTGCATAAGCAAATATTTCGAGGCCTTACCCCAAACACCCCCATTTATATATATATATAGATATAGATATATATAGACACTCTAAAGCTGATGCCAGTCGCAGTTGTCATAGCAACGTTGTTGGGGTTTTTGACAAACCCACTGCTGACAACAGGACAAAACCCACTGACGACAGGACATTGTCGGCAACAACTGGTCCCAGCTCGCTGGTTAGCTGCTCAGCGGCTCAGCGGCTCAGCTGCGTCTGCTCCTGACAGCGGCTGACAAGCTGAGGCTGATAAGCTTCAGCTGCGATTAGATCTCGTTGTTATTTCTTGTTTACCCGCTCAATATACATGTATATATTATTATGTATTTTATATATACGAGTATATATTTTTGAATGTTCTCATTTGAAAATCAGTTGCCGCAAGTTGTTTGCTGTGTGGCACTAAAAGATAAAGTTAAAATTAGCTGTGGCGAAAGCTGATTAACCCCGACCAAAGTTGAGTAATTAAGCATAATGAGAAAATGATTGCATTCCAGCATTCTAACTTGTAATCCCAGCTCGAACTTAAATATAGTATTCATCAATTTATTCAACTAAAGCTCGATTTTAGATTTATTTTTAGAAAAAACACTGATTTTTTAAATGAGTTTAAATTGTGTGGAAATTTTTACTGCTTTTTGAGTGTTTAAATTTACCAACTTGTTGATAAATTAATGTCTTTCAACTAAGGAAATTTCTTAAAAATATATTCTTATTATTCTTAACAGTTAATTATTAATTATTAATCAATCCTTCTTGCCTACATAAAATAAATGTTATTTAAATCGTTGAACCTTAAACTAATTTGGTTTTCTTGCAATGAATCTATCGTTAAAGGTCTGCAAGGCACTTGGCATCATCTGTGAAATGGAATACTTTGGCCTGGAGCCGTGGACGCCCAACCAGAAGGAGTCGCGTACGCGACAATGGTACAATCTGAGGAATCGCCTGCATGGCGACAGTGGCAGCAGCAGCAACAGTATCCAATTGATGCTGGCATTGAGGGTCAAGTTCTGGGTGCCGGTGCACAACATCCTGCAGGAGAGTGTGCTCAACTTGTTCTATATGCAGGCGCGACGAGATCTGCTGGAGGCGCGTCTCTGCGCCCAGGATTGGACAAATGCGGCCAAGTTGGCGGCGCTGCTCTGCCAGGCGGATGGCCATCGGTTCAACGAGCAGTCCTTGCGTGCCGAGTGCCCAATGCGAATGAGACGCGAGCTCGCCCAGCAGCAACAGTTGGCGCTGCAGCAGCAACAGCAGCAGCAACACAAACTCGAACAGCAGCGCAAGGAGAAGGAGCATGTGCTGAGCTTCAAGAAGCGGCGACTCTCCAAGCAGAAGTCCGTGGAGCACATGGACTGCTGCACTCTATCTGCAGCAGCAGCAGCAGCAGCAGCAGCAACAGCAACAACAGCAGCAGCAGCAGCAGCATCCACAGCAGCAGCAACAACAGCAGCAGCAGCAACGCTTGCCAACAGCAACCAGAACTTGCAACCATCTCCGTCAGCTTCAGTTTCCGTCTCTGCCTCCACATCCGCATCCACATCGAGCAGTCCAAGCAACAGCAGCAGCAGCCACTCCGGCCTGGATCAGCGACTCGCCAGCAATCCGTTGCGCATTTACGAGGATTACATCATCCAGCCGAGCGTCAAGGAGACGGAGCCGCCGGTTGATTTTCTGCGACAGATTGCCAACGAGCACAGCAAATTGGCCAAGCTGCGAATGTCCGTCAAGTCGGCCAAGTACTGGCTGCTGCAGGAGATCCAGGAGCTGAGCGGCTACGGCGAGGAGATCTTCAGCGGCGTCTCAACCAATGAGAGCGCCACCCGCTGCGAAATTGCAGTCGGTGCTCATGGCATCACCGTCGTCCGTGGGGAGGAAAAAGAAAGGTGAGCATCTGTGGCCAGTAGTGCAACTAGGGGGGAATCCAAGAATGATATACTCAGTTCATATCTAGAATTATTATACTATATAATCTGTAAAATCGGAAAAAAGAAGATGCCAAGTTAAGATACAATTTTAATTTAATTTAAACACGTTAAACACTCTGCTAGGATGTGTATCGAGAACTCTTCCTAAATACCTAGTTTAGTTAGCTGACTTCTTAGTCTGGAATGTGCTGTCAGCAGACCTTTGACCTGGTTGTTATTTGCTTTTAAATCGTTTAAGATCAGAGTCATCCAGGAGACATCTGGCTTGTTGTAGTCCTGCTGCCTCTGTCCAGCTCTGTCCAGCTCTGTCCAGCTCTGTCTAGCTCTGTCTAGCTCTGTCCAGCTCTGTCCAGCTCTGTCTAGCTCTGTCTAGCTCTGTCTAGCTCTGTCTAGCTCTGTCTATCTCTGTCCAGCTCTGTCCAGCTCTGTCAAGCTCTGTCTAGCTCTGTCTAGCTCTGTCCAGCTCTGTCTAGCTCTGTCTAGCTCTGTCTAGCTCTGTCTAGCTCTGTCTAGCTCTGTCTAGCTCTGTCTAGCTCTGTCCAGCTCTGTCTAGCTCTGTTTAGCTCTGTCCAGCTCTGTCCAGCTCTGTCTAGCTCTGTCTAGCTCTGTCCAGCTCTGTCTAGCTCTGTCTAGCTCTGTCTAGCTCTGTCCAGCTCTGTCTAGCTCTGTCCAGCTCTGTCCAGCTCTGTCTAGCTCTGTCTAGCTCTGTCTAGCTCTGTCTAGCTCTGTCTAGCTCTGTCCAGCTCTGTCTAGCTCTGTCCAGCTCTGTCCAGCTCTGTCTAGCTCTGTCTAGCTCTGTCTAGCTCTGTCCAGCTCTGTCTAGCTCTGTCCAGCTCCGTTCAGCTCTGTCCAGCTCTGTCTAGCTCTGTCCAGCTCTGTCTAGCTCATTCCAGCTCTGTCTAGCTCTGTCTAGCTCTGTCTAGCTCTATCTAGCTCTGTCTAGCTCAGTCCAGCTCTGTCTAGCTCTGTCCAACTCTGTCTAGCTCCGTCCAGCTCTGTCCAGCTCTGTCTAGCTCTGTCTAGCTCAGTCCAGCTCTGTCTAGCTCTGTCTAGCTCTGTCTAGCTCATTCCAGCTCTGTCTAGCTCTGTCTAGCTCTGTCTAGCTCTATCTAGCTCTGTCCAGCTCTGTCCAGCTCTGTCTAGCTCTGTCTAGCTCTGTCTAGCTCTGTCTAGCTCTGTCTAGCTCTGTCTAGCTCTGTCCAGCTCTGTCTAGCTCTGTCCAGCTCTGTCCAGCTCTGTCCAGCTCTGTCTAGCTCTGTCCAACTCTGTCTAGCTCCGTCCAGCTCTGTCCAGCTCTGTCTAGCTCTGTCTAGCTCAGTCCAGCTCTGTCTAGCTCTGTCTAGCTCTGTCCAGCTCTGTCTAGCTCTGTCCAGCTCTGTCTAGCTCTGTCTAGCTCTGTCCAGCTCTGTCTAGCTCTGTCTAGCTCTGTCTAGCTCTGTCTAGCTCTGTCTAGCTCTGTCCAGCTCTGTCCAGCTCTGTCCAGCTCTGTCTAGCTCTGTCCAGCTCTGTCTAGCTCTGTCTAGCTCTGTCCAGCTCTGTCTAGCTCTGTCCAGCTCTGTCTAGCTCTGTCCAGCTCTGTCCAGCTCTGTCCAGCTCTGTCTAGCTCTGTCCAGCTCTGTCTAGCTCTGTCCAGCTCTGTCTAGCTCTGTCTAGCTCTGTCCAGCTCTGTCTAGCTCTGTCCAGCTCTGTCTAGCTCTGTCCAGCTCTGTCTAGCTCTGTCTAGCTCTGTCCAGCTCTGTCTAGCTCTGTCCAGCTCTGTCCAGCTCTGTCTAGCTCTGTCCAGCTCTGTCTAGCTCTGTCTAGCTCTGTCCAGCTCTGTCTAGCTCTGTCCAGCTCTGTCCAGCTCTGTCTAGCTCTGTCTAGCTCTGTCTAGCTCTGTCCAGCTCTGTCTAGCTCTGTCTAGCTCTGTCCAGCTCTGTCTAGCTCTGTCTAGCTCTGTCTAGCTCTGTCTAGCTCTGTCTAGCTCAGTCCAGCTCTGTCCAGCTCTGTCAAGCTCTGTCTAGCTCAGTCCAGCTCTGTCTAGCTCTGTCTAGCTCTGTCCAGCTCTGTCCAACTCTGTCTAGCTTTGTCCAGCTCTGTCTAGCTCTGTCCAGCTCTGTCTAGCTCTGTCTAGCTCTGTCCAGCTCTGTCTAGCTCTGTTCAGCTCTGTCTAGCTCTGTCTAGCTCTGTCTAGCTCTGTCTAGCTCTGTCCAGCTCTGTCCAGCTCCGTTCAGCTCTGTCTAGCTCTGTCTAGCTCTGTCTAGCTCTGTCTTTGTACGCTTCTAAGTTGCCTCCCTGTTCCCATTCTCGCTGGCTCATTAACTATTTAGCTTTAAAAGAGATTTCTAAATCGATTCACTTGTGTATTTAAGCTTCAACTCGATTTAATATTTGTTATTTTAAACAGTTTTTAAACTCCATTTCAATTTCAATCCGCTTGCAGCATCCCATTCAGTGCGATTGCGTCGGCGAAATCGTTGAGGCGCACTTTCAAGCTGGAGTACGTGGACGATCACAACGATCGCAAGGAGCTGGAGATCAAGTTGCCCAAGCAGCCGATTGCCGCCGGTTTGTATCGATCGATAACCGAGCGACATGCGTTCTACGTCTGTGACAAGGTGCGCTGCGTGGTGACGAATCAGTTTACGCGGGATTTGAAGGGAACGATTGCATCGATGTTCACCGCCACAGAGATTGGCAAGCGGTATGTGTTCGACATACAGCATACGTGCCGCGAGGTGCACGATCAGGCGCGACGCAAGCTGCATGAACGTGGCGGCGATGTGGCTGCCACGGCGGCTATCGATGTTGGCAGCGCCAGCAGCTGCTGTCCAGATGCTGCTGACATGGCAATCGCTGGTGGTGGTCGTGGCAGTGCTGGTGTTGGTGGTTCCATGGCCGGCAAGATAGATTTGGCCATACGCGAGAAGGAGGCGCGTGAAGCGGCGATTGAGCGCTGCGTGGATACGCGCATCCTCGAGGCGATGCAGTGCAAGATCTGCATGGATCGTGCGATCAACACAGTGTTCAATCCATGCTGTCACGTCATCGCCTGTGCCCAGTGTGCAGCTAGGTAAGTTCACTCACTTCGACTCCCACACTCGTCGAAAAATGTTTGCTATTCTTCATTTTTTATTAAGTAATCATTTCTCATAGAGAGTGAAAGTTATTCAAATCCTGCTGATATTATAAATAACAAATTAAATATCAACACTGCAACATTTTTTTAGAACTTGTTTGAAAGCATTTTTTTGTGTTTTTGCAAATTGGTTGACAAATATAATTTTTATATATTTTCTGATGGATTTGTTTCTGTTTTGATTTGCAGGTGCAACAATTGCCCCAATTGCCGCAAGAAAATAACGAGCGTAGTCAAAATCTATCTGCCACCGGAACTGCGCACCAGCAGCCACCCAACCGTTGCAAACAGCAGCTGCAGCAGCAGCAGCAGCAACAACAACAACATCGAAGGCCCCCTTTCGGGTGAGCATCAGCAGTTGCAGTCGGAGCTGGAGCTGGAGCAGCAGCTGGATGGCTTCGCCACGACATCAGCAGCAGGAATAGGAGCAGGAGCTGGAGCAGCAGCAACAGGAGCAGAGGCCGGAACCGGAGCCGGAGCCGGTGCAGCGTCAGTTGGAGCGCCAAAAGTGACGACGGCTGCCTAGAATTGGCTGTGCTCGCTGCTGTTCCGGCTGATGGAATGGGTTTGTGTGCCGATCGTTTGATCCGTCACGCAATCATAATCGTTAACCAGAGATCTCGTCTTGCTGTCTGCATCTATAATTTGACCATATATAAACATTTCGAAGGGAACAAACCAAAAACAAGTTGATGATGTTGAAAACAAACAAAAAACAAAAAACTATTAACTAAAAAGAAATCAAAAAGAAACACACATTTAGCCTGTATACTCTGTATCTTTACTCAAGTATTTTTATGGATATATATATATTTCGATATGTATATATATATATATATATGTATACCACTGCGACTTTAAAGTGCTATTTAATTTGATCTAAGACTTTACTACTTAGCCTCTTTTAGAGTGTTTAGCCTATACAACAACAACAACAACAACAACAACAAAATTACTATTACTAACTAAAACTAAATGAATAAGCTAAAATGCATATATATACATATATATATATATATATATTGATAATTATAACTGTAAACCTATATAGTACGAATAATGGCCCTGTGCAATGGAAAGTTAACAAAACTAAACAGCGGCTAATTAAAAGAAAAAAATACATATATATATAATTATATATACTTATTATTGTTTATTTAACCTTAGAATTTTACGCAATTGAAACTCGAGATGTATTTATTATATATATACATATATATATATATAGATAATGCCTAATGCCTAACACTCTTAGTATTTATTACAACACTAAAATTAACAACAACAAAAACTACTTTGCCTAAACACAATCCAATTCTCATGTAGCATACTTATTTGGATGTGTTATATATCGAATGCATATATATATATATATATATATATACAAAATGTAGTATATATACCCTCACATATATATGTATATATGTATGTGTAGTAACTTTTAGGACAAGCGTACAATAATCGCAAGTTTAAGGAGCAAAAGTAGTACCTAAAAGTACCCTGCAAAAAACTGCTAAATGCGTAGTCAATAAATAAATGTTAACAATGTTATATATATATATATATATACCATATACAATCAAACGAATTTATTTATTTTCTTATCTCTTTCTTTCAGTTTGCATTTGAGTTGTCCACATATTTTTTTTACATTTAATTGTTTGATAAAGGACCAAAAGAAAATTTATAATTTCTTTTGCTTTTCTAACTAAAACTTCTCTATTCTAAATTTAGTGTAGAAAACATAGAGGTAAATCAATCTGTACAAAGGGATTAAAAACTATTGGAACATAGATTTCGAATCCTTATTAAATTTTTCCTATTTTCTTTGCTCTTTGTTTTATGAAGTTGAAGTTTTTGGATGCGTTTTCAATTTGTTTCTTTTCGTATATATATTTGAGTCGCCTTATCTTTCTCGATTTATTTGCAATATCGTATACATAATAAATAAAATATATATGTGATCTTGAACTTCATGATATTATCCCTCATGCAATCATCTCGAATACATTTCATGCCACAACCCATCATTGTGAGTTTGATGAACATTTTCAGCTAAATTTGAAAACTAATGCGATGCTTCTGCACCACAATTGGAGCCACTTGTTTTTGATGTCCCAGATACAGACCCTAAATACGAATAATACATTATGCTGGGAGTTCAGAGATAAATTTACTTACAAACACAATGGACAATGGCATGTATCAGTTGGACGAAGCTCAATTTTGGAGAGAAATGTTTGCGATGAAGCCATCTCGACTTATTTTCCATGAAAATGGGAATTCTCATTGTTTTTCACTTGAGTTTCCGCGTAATTTGGAATATACACAATATTACCACTCTTATCGCGTTTGCGTGGATAGCGCTCTACAAAGGAAGTCATCGATTGTCGAAGCTGCAAGGACTTATTGAATTCTTTCATAAAGCCACCAACACTGTTAGCTTGATTCTTGTCAAGCTTCGTTCTGTTAATATTTGACATATTCTTAATTTTATCAACAGTATTTCCGTTCAAATGGTTCGCAATTCCCATTTTATCAATTGCTCCAACACAAAGAGTCAAAGCTGTTAGATTTGGATAAGGATCTTATAAATTCTTTGTATTTCCCAACTTACCACCAATTAAGCAAACGAAATCCATTAACTTTGCCCTCATTTTGGTACAATTCGTCTACAATATTCTGGTTTATGTTATGTGTTTGATTTCAATGATTTGACCTACAATTATTTTGAACATGTTTTCAAAGAGTAGGCGCGCAATGTTTACATTAATCGTCTATCGATTGGTAGCCATATTTGTGTAGCGATTTCCTTGTGTACACACTGGTTGTTATCGATATCTTCGAAATATGCGATATAAATATTCCTTATATATCGAAACCGGTAAGCATCGATTTCTTGGTGCTTATCGCAAGTACTACAATAATCGATTACTTATGGCAATCATTTAAAACATTAAATCACGTTGCTGTTGGATAATATTCTGTGTCAATGTGTTCACATAGTTTTTGAATGAGAATTATTATGTTAGGCTAATGCTTGTGACGATATTCAAAGAAATGGATTCAGTTTGTGGTGTGCTTCTGAATTTGTAGATGGTGAATTACAATTCAAATTGAATCAAAGTTTAAAGCTGAGAATTTTCTAGTAAATTATGTTACTTAGTCAGTAGGTTAACTTGTTCGGTTTCTTAATGTTACTTATAGCAGTGTTTGACAAGTGTTCAAAGTGCCCGCTTAGCATAGAAATGCACAACGCAGCCATTACAACGATATATCACATTCGAAATTCAAGCGATAGTTGTCAGAATTTGAATAATCGAGCAGCACCGCTTCGTTGCTTACCGTGAATATATCGATAGTTGACAGTGATGGGTCACTTATCGGTGGAACATGGGATAGTCCTGCAATTACGGATGAGACTATAAATTTACTAATTTAAAAATGTAATTAATATCGAGTATTATTAATGCACTTATTGTCCGCTATATAATACAATTGCAATATATTTAACGATTTATTTGTAAATAAATATTTTAACTGTTAGATAATTACATAATTAAAACATTCTTTGCAAGATTGTGCTGTGTAGTTATTTGTATCCCGATAGTCGTGTACGCAATCGATAACGGTTGGAAAACATCGAATGCATATGATTCGCTGTGTCATCGATAAGGATGCCATCACTAGTTCGGCGTGTAAATCTAAATGTAAATATCGCCCCGTCTGCGCCGAAACATTGTAATAAATTCTATAGTCCCGCTTAATAAATAATTCTAAAAATATTACCAACACCGACGTTGGCGTTAAATGCAAAATATCACGTGTGCTTTGCCGACAATATCCGAGCAGTGGCAGCAGCAGCCGGAATAGCAGAAGCAAAAGCAACAGCAACAAGCTACACTGGTCAGTGGTCGTCGTCGTCGTTGTCGTCGCGAACGTGGATAGATGCAAGGCAATGCAAACAATTGAATAAGCGTAAGCGTAAGCGTTGCCCTCTCTGCTCGCTGCCTGCCTGCTCGTCCACTCGCTCACTCGCACCCACTACACCATTGGCGCCGTGAACTAAATACAATTTTAATGTTGGTGAAATTTGCACGCGGCTGCAGTTCTTGATTATTGTTATTATTATTACCAACAAGCAAGCAGCTGGTGTTTGTCCCAGCGAACCTTTGACGTGGGGCCTTTGCCTCTCTTGATCGTGATCAGAGTGTGTGTGAACACTCACCGTGTGTACGTAAATGTGTGTGTGTGTGTGCGGAGACCACCGCAGTGACCATGAAGCGACGCGTTGCTCTCATTTCTGTGGATGTTTACAATAAATACCTAAAAATGTTTAAATTGTACAATTGCAAAGCGAAATAACAGCAACCAGAACAAGCACAACAATCACTACAACTGCAATCACATCAACGGCAACAGCAACGATAACAACAGCAATCAAAAATTCAGCTCGTTCTAATTAGCTGTGACAACAAAAAAACAGCTGAAAATAAATACTTAAGAAGCAGACGCAGTCGATATTCCACTTGTGCTCTCAAGCTTTAACAGCCTAAAATTAAACGTGAACGAAAATCAGAGAAGCAGACGACATATCATCATCAAAAAAAAAAACAAAAAAATCAAGAAAGAAACAAAAAGAAGCTAAATCGCTACACCAAGTGCCTTGTCTCTCTCACTCTCTTGCTGTCTGTGTGTCTCTCTCCTTTAATGTGTTTAAAGTGAATTTAAGCCGTACTTTGACGTCACATTGTCGACATCGTAGTAGTAGTTGTTGTTGTTGCTGTTGTTTTGCCACTGTCTTCGCCTCTCTCACCTCTCACTCACTCGCATAAGGAGGCGTCTACACTTTTAATCGGTTCGCGCGCATCTTTTGCCCAAATGCGTTTCGTGTCGAGTTTGTTGATTTTCTTATTCTCGTGCGCTCTCGTTTCACGCATGACTTGGATATAATACACACACACACACAAATGCATATATGTAGATGTATGTGTGTGTGCATCAGCATCGGCATTTAATTTAATCTGGATCTGGATTATACAATCGCACAGAGGTCAGTATCTGAAGTGTAGTGATGCCTATTTAGCCTTTTTTTCGTTACACAGATCAACATCTTTTTATTTTGTTGTTTGTTCGATCGATAATTAATCGATTCACTGTGCCGCAAACATACCGAAACTTTTAATCAATCTTTTGCCTCGGAACGTATTAGTTCAGCACGTTTCCCGGACGACCCTCACGACCTGCTACAAATTGTAAATTCAATTAATTTAAATCAATTTGACATTGCATTTATTTCAATTCCACGGTTCTTTAGCCCTTGACAATGCTATCTGGACTATATTTACTATGCATAGCCTCATTCAATGCCATATTGCATGTGAAAGACACAAAGTTGTTTGGGAACTGATTACTTAATACGAATTAAGTAATTCTTAGGTCATTTACTATTGGATATGTAAAGTTTGAGGAAATTCGATTCACGCTTTTCAATGAAATCGCTATCCGAAATTACAAAATTTAGTCTATATCATTAATAGTTGATCAAAATGTTACGTTTTTTTTTATTGTAGTTTATTTCGTGAAATCTATTTTAGTATGTTTTTCATCTCAAACGTTATTTGAATGCTGTCAGCAATTATTTAACGTATAATTGAATGCCTGTTCTTAAATATAACTTTATCACGCACATGAAATCCTAGTTGTTTTATTAAATTGATGAAATAAAACGAATGTGCAGCAGTTAAAATGGGTATTTAATGAGTTTCGTGGCCAGGCAGCTTAACAACAACAGGAACAGCCGTCAAATAGGGGGGGAACGATGAAGAAGAAGCAGAAACAGAAACAAAAAAACAACAAACAAAATTATGATTTACACAATAATTAAATGTCAATTCATCTGGGCCTCGTCTTGTTTGCTGTTGTTCTTTTACATTCCGCTTTGCGGTCGCTTCGGCTGAACTTTAAAAGCGACAACGGTTATTAATTCACTCTCTGCTTGCTTGCGGAGCATTGGGAGCATTAAAAGCCTGGCGCTCTGCAGCCTTTTTTTCTTCCATAAGCTGTCCAAATGTTGTCAGTGGGAACAAGGGACGCGGCAGAGTCGTGGTAGAAACGCAAGGAACGTAAGGGTCCAGTTGCGACAGTCGTTAATGGAAAAAATGTGACGAGGACCCATTCGTTTTGTTTTAAATACTCTTACATAAAGCGCATTATTACTTTGTCACGGATTTTACCACACACGAATAAATAATAATAATAATCAGATATACATGTATTATTTGCGCCTATCGATTTTCTTCTACACGATTTTCAAGGCTTATTTTAAATATTTACTGATGGCAAGGGAGAATTTCATATTCTTCGTTTTTCTAAACTTATTGTAAAATCGGAAAGATTTCCATATACCCTGCCAGCTATTCAAAATTGCAAAAAACATTATCGTTAAAATGATAAAATGAAGAATCGTAGAATCAACTTAAAAGCTTGAACTGCTTACAGGGTATTTACAAGTTGGGCTCAGCTCTCATTTCGTGCACACTTACGTGTTTGTTTCGTTTTTAATATTATGTTAAGGGTGGGCGGGGGCGGGGGGCGGGACGAAAAGGTCTTGCGGGGGGAAAACGTTGGGATTTTGGCAGCGGACGGGATGCGTGCCCAAAGCCGACATCCAACGTCCTGCCATAAAATTGCATGCACGAATTTTGTTTTTGTGCCGCCTTCTTCCCTTGCCGCTCTTCCCCTATTCGTCTGTTGTTTTTGCTTTTGTTTTTGTTGTTGCTGCTGCTGTTATTTTTGCCAGCCTCTTGTTTTTTTGTTTTTTTTTTATTTATTTGGTCCGAGTTTATTGCGTGGAATGCTATTTAATAAATTCCATTTTATGCCAGCCCGCCCCAATCCCCTCTTCCGACCATCGTTCGCTTGCAGGCTTTTTTCTGCTTCTGGTTGCAGTTGATGTTGTTGTTGTTGTTGTTGTTGTTGCCCTTTTCGCCAGGATTTATATGCAGTTTGTGTTTGTTGCCCGGCTGTTGGTTCAATGCAAATTTTTAAATTCAATTCTGACATTCAAACGGCGAACGCAATAACAAATTGCAAAATGAAACAGCAAAGAAACCGACTAAAAATGATCGAATAGAAGCTACCCTGTAAATGGGCGAAGGTAGCAACGAAAAATGCTTTAGCTTGATTCATGTTTCCTTTTTTAAACAAAGTGTGAATCCACACAAAAAAAAAAATTAATTCGAAGCTTAGTTTCTTATATATCGTATAATAACATATATTAGGGTATTTAAATATCGGCTAGTCGAAGATTGCCTTGCAGCTGTTGTCTCTATTCACTTTGTTCTTGGAAATTAAGTTTTATTTTGGCATTGCGTTTAGTTTTCCATTTCAGCAAGTCAGCAACCAGAGAAGAAAAAAAACTGGCACAGTACAGCAAACAATGAAGACGGCAAAGTTTAAGCACCTTAGTTCACTTCACAAGTGAACAACAAAAAAAAGAAAAAATTAAAACGAAAAGTAAGACGAACAAAACGAAAAGAAAATAGAGAGAGAGTAAGGAGAAAGAACAGCAAAAAAGTGGCCAAAAGCGCTAAAAGTTTTCAACAGCGTAACTTTTCTTGCTCGTCCTACAACTTTCAGATACTATTTTTAGTTATTGTTGTTGTTGGTCCTGTTCTTGCAGCGAACTTCCGCTCGGTGCTCCTTTGCCAACTAGTCCCAAGAATAACAAAAACAATGTCAAGAACAAGAACAAGAATAAGGAGCAACAACAATAACGATGATAAGCATTGAAAACTTGCGATTTTGTTATGCGCGCACCTTAAAGTTTGTTTGAGACGCGACGCTTTAAAGGGTATTTCTGACGTGTTTTCTATTTCACTTGTTTTTACTCTATGTGCGTGTGTGTGTGTGTGTGCCACGCCCCAAGCACGGCGGCATTGCTCGTATAGGGTTTTTGGTGTGCAACAAGGACACGACAGCCATAAAAATATTTCAGAGTGCAGCAAAAGTTGAAAAACAACTGCAGTTGCGGCTGAAAACAGCAGGACAACAACAGCAACAACAAAAACAAGCAACAGCAAGGATGGTTGAAGTGCATCAAAAACAACAACTCTTAAAACGTTGCAAAAGCAATAAAAAAACCAAATAGAAAAAAGCTTACAGTATATTTATGCAGCAAGAAATACAATTACCAATACTCAAATACCAGATATTCTGTAAAGAGCGAGGAATGTGCTTAAATTGATTCAATACACTTTATTCTAAATTAATATAAATCACCTTAATTTTAATTTCAATGTTACTTCCCTTTTTTGGATTAAAGAAAGTGATTTGGAAGTTTTAATCTTGATTTTGAGCTATCAATCTAATAATCTAACGAAAGACATTTTATAGTCATCCCAAACACTGTCAGTTTTTCCATTTCTCATCAAAATCTCTAACTGCTTTTCATATGGTATTTAAGTAGCCGACCAAGCCTGAACTTTTTCCATTTCTATAAAAAAAAGTTTTGCCACACCAAACCCAATAGCCTCTGAGATGAAAAAACTTGGCACAGAATTCTAAAAATTCGATAAAAGAAGTGAATAAAAGTATAATTGAAACATGGCCGGCCAGCTTGATGCACATCGATGATGGAGTAGGAAGTGAAGTGAGGAGGCACCCTGGGTATTTTCACGAAATTTTTGTTGCCTTTGTTTTGGCTGCTGTTTATTTTGGAAACTTTATCGACGCTGTGCTAAAGTTCTGCACATTACAACTTTTAAATTGTTGTGAATTTGAAATTGAGCTCTAAAATAAATAAATAATGCTACGTAATTAGTTGTTTCAGTGTTGCTTTTCTTGCTGCCATCCACACTTGTTTATGTTATACATTTTCAACGAATATTTATTATTTTTAATTGCATCCACACCTCGATTTAGCCTTCACAATTTAATTAATAGTTGTGGATATGTATAACGATTTAAAGTTAAAGTAATTCATCCTTTAAAATGTTATATGAAGTAGTAGTGTTGAAATGTTTTGTGAGTTTGGTTATTGGATAATTCGATTATAATGATAAGCGAAAAGCAATTTAAATTCCAACTTTTCTGATATAGTAATTATTACCAAATATTTATTGTTCAGATAAGAAATGATGATTTTTTTACACTTTGAAAAAGGTTTAACTTAAAATACGCTTGCTTTAAGTGGAATATGGATTCTTGTCAAGTCAATAGAAGCTTAAATAATGAAAATTTGTTGCTCATTAATCGAACGATTGCCGGCAACGATAACCTATTTCATCAGAGCACTGATAACCCACATACATTGTGAATGATCTGCGATCGTGATCTTTGCCATGCAATGCGGGAAGCTTTTTATTTGTAAACATGCATATATAAATATATATATGTATATAGATTCGACAATCTTTTGCTTCGCGTGTCTCTAAGAGCTGTTTTTGTTTTTCTTCTTTTTCTTGATTTTGCGATGTTATTTTTGTTTATTTTATTATTTACTTTTAGTTGCGCATTTAATTCATTTATATTTAAACGCATGTATTTACAATTTGTGCATATATTTAAGTATGACGTATGTGACATGAGCCACAACTTTGATAACGACATATGAAAAGAGAGTGGCAAATAGGAAAGGGAAGGAAAGCCCATTCTACAAAATCAAGCCATAATCAAGTCAAGCGAATAGCAAAAAAAAAATACATTGCTTACTTGGATTATTCTGACTAACTTTGCATATGGCAAAATCTGGTAAAATTGCCTTCAATGCTAATAATATTCTCAGTATTTCGAGTACAACGCCTTATCTGGTTGCGAACCAGATTCAAATGGTGCTAATTTGTATGATAAGGTCGAGGCAATCGTATGCTAAGCAATTGTATGCTGTTCTCATTTAGCAACTGCTTCAGAAGTTTTCCCTGCTCCCTGCTAAATCATGAGCATGTACACAGATGTGAGGAGAATTATGAAGTCTTTTTTTAGACTAGTCACACGCAGACCCCAATATCAAATGACTCAGCTGCATCAGCAGTTATTATGTAGTCTGATAGTCTTTACTTAGAAATAGGGACTGAAAGTCAGTTCAGTTTGTATGATAAGCCAGGGATTTTATACAATTATAATGATAAAGGGATAATGAACTTGCAGAAGAAGTTATCTACGACCCTTTACAGTATGAATCGTTTATAATTGATATATAAATAGATGTCTATATATAAATACTAATTCGAGTATTTCTTTCATTTTTTGTATTCTAGTTGAATATTATGGAAAAGGCGAAAGCGTATATCAAAAATGAACTCCGTGGCGGCAGCGTTCCTTTGCAATCCGAGCCAGCAACAACATCGCCACACAGTCATCATAATCACAATCCGCACTTGGCTGCCGCGGAGCTGATGCCATCGCCTCTTGGGGGCTATCAGTCAATGCAGCATTACTATCCATCCGTCAAATCCACGGGACGCGCTTCGGCACCACCAGAACACCATCAGATGCATTCAGCATCCCCGGCCGGACCGGCATCCGTTTGCTTTGTGTGCGGCGGACATGGCAGCTATGAAGCGTTGCGCATACGTCCCAATCCGGAACGGCCGGGTGAGGCGCACTTTCCGTTTCTGGAGCGGCACGAGCCACCGCAGGGCGTGCCCATGGTGGCCAGCAATCAGGTCTATGTGATGGCCTGCATCCTATGCTACCGCTCGCTGCTGGAACAATGGGATTCCTTTGAGCGACAGAAGAAACCGCTGGTCCAGCGCATTTATCACATGAAGCGAGTGGATGGCAAGGCTTACATCGGCGCAGATATCGCCACCCAATCGGAGTATGCGGCTCAAATGTTGGGCCTGAGTGCTGAGCATTTAACCCAGAATGGCATCGGGGAACAACCACTCGATGCATATCGGCATTATGCACCACCAACACCACAGCAGCAACAACAGCAGCAACAGCAGCAGCAGCAGCATAACCACCAGCACCACAGTACCTCAACGAACGCCTCGCCGGATTACTATCCACGGAATGCGACGCCCACCAGCCACAAATACCTGAGTCGACCCCAGTCGCGGGACATGCAGCTGCCCTCTCCGCTCTCGCGACCACCCAGCGAGCCGCCTGCCCGCAGTTCCAGCTCCAGTTTTGCGCAGCACAAGTTCAAGCTGGGTACGCATAGCTATCAGCCTGGCGCACCACCGCCACCGGGTCCGGGTCCGGGTCCGCCACCACCGCCACAATCCCCGGCCCAATATCAGCCGGCGCAATACCAGCAGTTGCAGCAGCAGACGGCCGCCTACCACATGTTGCAACAGGTGGCCGCTGTTTCGGGCGAGTCACAAGCCCACTACAAGGGTAATCCATATAGCATTAGCTCAACACTGCCGCCCAGCCTGGAGGATGATAATGCCACCGTTTTGGATCTACGTAATATATCCGCTTCAAATCTAGCCACTGCAGCTGTGACGTCCACTTCGGCAATAGTGCAGTCGGGCAGCTGCTCCAATAACTCCAGCAATTCAAATGCCGCCACCGTTGCCACGCCCACCACAGAGGTGGGCATCCTGGATCTGTCCATGCCCGACAAGAACTCCATCACCGAGGTGTGCTACGTGTGCGGCGATGAGCAGCGTCGCGGCAGCCTCGTCGAACTGAGCACCGTTAAGCCCAAGGAGGGATCCCGGATCGGTCACTCAATTGCCTATTTTCCGCTGTTCAACGAGCAGCATCCACGTCCACCCCGCTCCCGACCGAAAGATCCACGCGGCATGATTCAGGCGTGCATGCCCTGCCACGAGGATCTCATGCAGCAGTGGAATGCCCATCAGGTAAGCGATCTTGATTATGATTATATATATATATTATATCTTTAAAATGGTAACTAAAGGTAATCGATTTTTATCGATAGAATAGATTTATCTTGATCTGTGTTTGGAATAGGAGAAGTAATATTCCAAAATTTCTCTAGCTCGCCAACTACAAGCTACAATATATTATATATATTTATATGGGGCTTTGATATCGGTTAAGTTTTTGTAAAATTTCCCGTTTTTAGTATTAATCGATAATCGATATTTGTTATACAGATTGATATCTGAGTACTGGGTATTCTCTAGTCGAGCACTCGACCTAAATATGCATATTAATACTGCCGCTGTAGATGCAAAAGTTTTAGCAACATATATGTGTAAATAATGCTTTAATTTAAAAGCATATATGTATTTGAAGTACATACATAGAAGTGCTTCTGTGTGGACTGAGTGTTGCAGACCGTGCAAAATGAATGGATAAGTGGGGAAACTCAAAGCAAATAAAATAAAATAAAAACGTTTGCGAAAGTAAATTTACGTAAACACGATTCAAAATAAACAACAACGATGATGATGATGAGTGTGTGGATGGTGGATTATGGTTGAATGTAAATGCGACTGATGATGATGATTCTCATGATGATAATTGGGAGATGGAGATGGCTTTTGGGATGGCGCCGCAAACTGAACCCGGCTGAACGGCTAATGTGTCGATCCACAGGCGATTAATCAGTCAGACTCGGAGTCCGAGTCTGTCTCGGAGTCAGAGAGTCAGCAGGGTTTGTGGAGAGAATTATCATGCGCCTTGCCAAATGACTCTGTTGGTGGGAATTATGACCGCAGGGTCGCTTGTGTTGCTGATTAAATTTTAATAGCTTTCCGCGATTATTTGTCGCGATTTTTTTTATGTATTTATTTTTTTTGTAGCTTTATTTCGCTGTTATTTCTGTATGCGAAATGTATTTTTGGTGCTCGACGACATTGACATTAATTGATAATTGATAAGATTTGAGAAAAAAAAAACACACACACGGGAACTAAAATTAACAAAAGCCACAAAGCTGCAATTTCGAAGTCGATTTTTTTTTATTGTTATTTTTAACACAGCTCACAGCTAATCAGGCATTTTGTTTATGATTCACTTAAATTTCAGGGAGCACATTTAAATATCATTAAGTTTGCATGTTTATATAGCATTTAATTATAAAATGTGCAATAATTGTTTGACAATTTCAACAACGTTTTTCCTCATCAATATTAACAGCTTTGGCATGAAATTAAGAATGACAAACAGCAATTATAATATTTGTTTAGTATTGGAAATGATTATTCAATAGATCTTTCATATTAATCACAATTAAAATAATATAAATTCAAATGCATTTAAAACGAATCGCAATTAAAAGAGCGCTTTAAGAATTCTGAACAATAAAATTATAATACAAAAATTGAGTAATAACTGTAAATACGTCACTCAGTTTCCAAATTCAACTTAAATTTTCAGAAAATGCAATAAATGTTTTCATTTGTGCAGCTGTTATAAAATATTGGAAATTATTTAACCTTTTTCTCACACACTCCCAAACAAAAACAAAAAAAGTCTAGTTTAATGTATTGCATTTTTAGCAGAGGTTTAGTTGCCACTCCCCTCGTACACCGCCCACAAAACCAATCCTCGAACTGTATTTCATTTGAAATTTATATTCACAGCACAAAAATGTTGCAACATTCCATAAAAATGCAAAATTCACACAGCTGCCGGGGCAGAAACAGGGCGAATACACAATGTGTAAAATGTGCGGGATAAATAATTAAATGCCATTAATTGGAATTGTGTAAATTTCAGAGAAGCACACACACACACATCGAAGCATATAAAACAAACAGAAAATGCGCATGAAATAATAAATAAATAAATGCAATAAAATTACAAATGCTGCAATGCCCCGCCGGGTGTGAAGAGATGGTAAAGGGTGCACATGGGGAAGGGGGTGTGTGTGTGTGTTCATGGGGGGGTATGTGTGGGAGTAGATAGGTGGATAAACTTTGACGCGCCGTTGCCTATTCAGTGAAAATGCAAAATGAATAAATAATCAAACATTGAAAATCAACGACGATCCTGGCAACGAGACAAATTAATTAAATTTAACCCAGTAAAGCAGCGCAATTCAAACGAGCATTTTTTTTTTGCTGGCACCCAGCCAAAATAACCAACCACAAACCAATCAAAGCCACAACCCCAAACCCCCTGTTCGACACAATTCAGTGGGGTTTGGTGAGGGAGGTGGGTTGTGGTGCCATCAACCGTATGACGTACGCAAATTTCCATTCCATTCAGCACAAACGGCCAAACGGAAAGTGCGAAAAAGCATTTAATTATTTATGCTCATCTTTAAAAACGTTTCGGGCAACAAAAAATAAAAATCAAATTCAATTTAAACGAATTTAAATCGATCTGGTTGAGCGCCAAGTTTCTTTCTCGCCCAATTCAATGTGCGATGTGAATGAATAAAATATCAATCCAAAATGGGTGAAACGGTGAAATGCGCAAACTAGACTATGGAAATATTCTCCATTTATTCCCAGCCAATAATAATAATAATATAATAGAATAGAATAATACTATAATAATCCATGTGTCTAGCGCAGGGAAAAGCATTTTCAGCCTTTAGAGTGACCAAGACCTTTAGAGTGACCCTTTTCGTCTAGATTAGGTTATTGGGAAGGGTATCTAAGAACCAAACTCTTTTTTTTTATAGGCAAATAACAAATTTTAAGGCTTGGAAACTATAAATATTGCATTTTCAAGGCTTTTGTGTAGCGCTGCTATAATTGTTATTCAGCTTCAAAATATGTGAAATGTTTAAAATAGTTATAGCTATTTATAAAAATGAGTCTTTCGTATACCCTTCTTGCTTTTCCATGCGAGGTATGCGAACTAAACTGTGCTTGTCAAGCCATGGATGCCATTATAAAATACAATGAACCATTTGCAACTACATTTTTTTTTTGATGTTCGTTGGTTTGGTGACAAATGTTTAAATTAGCTCGATTTCTTTTGTGTTGCCGCTTTTATTATTATACTTCTTCGGTAGATTTCGAACAACAATCATTTTGCGTTTGTCACGGCGTTTGTCTATAATGAATAAGTCTGCGATTCGGTTAGTTGGCAATTTATGTAGCATTTATTTTTAAGTATTTCTTCTGTGAATGGTCGAACTTAAAGCGAATTATGAGAATGAAAACAATGACCTGGGTGCCCGAGCATTTTTTGGCACGTTGCCAATCCGGCAGATAGCCAAAATTCGGATCAAACCGGTTTAGCAAATTAAACAAAAATGCTCTATGCAAGGGTGATTAATTTTGAAATACTCTCTCCATAAAACAAAACCCATAATATATGTATATGTAATAAATGTTTATTTCATGAGCTTACACATTTAAATTACTAATTTTCTTGACGTGGACGACTTAAATTGGCCCAAAACTGCGAATGATTGCTACATAAATTGATTAATCATGTGAATATTGATTCTGACGACAAAACGAAACCCAATTTGTATTTGTAACCGACAGACAGCTCAACTGACATTGCTAAATAATATAGATACTCTCAAAAAATGCCTTCAGGGCAGTATCAAAACTTCCCAGAGCCATAACTTTATCAAAAATGCTCCGATTTGAAAAAATCAAGGTTTTTCTAGCATGGTTTGAGCCCTAGTTCAAAGCTACATTTAAAGTTAAAAACGCAATTTTGACTCGAAAATCAACTCCTCAATAAGTGACTTCAAGCCAATTCTAGCTTGAAATTCATCTTAAAATTACGTCCTCAAAAACTGCTTGAAGGGAATACCAAAAACTTTCCAGTTTCTCGACCATTAGCTGTGAAGAGTAAAGTTGGCTATAAGTATAAGAAACAGCATATATTTATATTTAATATTATTTAATATTTAAACGTACATACGATATTCATAAAGAAGGCATTATATGTCAAATAAGTAGAGCAAAGCATTATATATACCATGTCTATGTGAACGAAGTATAAATATTTAAATAACTAAAATAGGTCAGCATACACAAAACAAGAATTCATTTTACACAGTGAACAATTTGTGAGAAATCTTACTTTTCCATTTAAAATTAATAATTAATACGTTTATGGCAATAATTTACTTGCTGTCTCGTTCACGCTAACAATCGATAATAATCGATTACACGTTTTGCAGACTTTCAAAAAAAGAATCGCTGAAGCAAGTTAAAAATTGAATTGTTCATTAAATGCAGCAATTTTAAAATCATATAGCTAGGAGATTGTGTTCCACATTCAAGAGACTTATCCTCCTCCTTGTCAATATAAAGTCTCTCTTGTGTAGAAGCTATCCCAAAGGACAAACTCCTTGCTCTCCGGCAGTGGCTTAAACTCCAGTTCCTCACCAATGTTGAGACAGAGCTCGGAACCACCTGGACGCAGTGGTTCCCATTTGGTGGGCTCAATTTGCTTGCAATTGGGATCACCAGTTGTCGCAAAAGAAGTCCACATGCCAATGAGACGCTCAATGGTACGATATTCGAGAGATGCCCTATCCAATTTGGACGAGAGCAGTGTGTAGAACATATAGGAGACATCATCCGCATGGCAGACACCACGCACGTTGCGTCCACAATTCAAAATGCGGAAGTGATTGAAATGTGGCGAGTCCATGTCAAAGCGATAGAGGTAGGTGGGCGTGGCCGGTGCATAGGCCAATCGTGCGAGCAGGGATCGATGAATGCCATGCCAGAAATGCTTGACACTCAACAGACGCAGACACTCAAACAGCTCCATTTTGGCACGATCCGCATCATCAAAGTAGGCCAGCTTCAGACGACGCAGCTGCTCGGCCAGCTCATCGGCATCGATGGCATCGCGAACGGATGGCGGAATGATTGCCTCAAAAGCACTCAGCATGTGCTCCCGATCGTGCAGCGTTGACTGATAGCTGAAGAGTCCCTCGAACGAGGTGCCACCAATGATAAGGGGCAGCTCATTGCTCCAGGCGCTGGCCAATTGCTCGAGATGTGGACGCGGTATCACACAATCCTCACCCACATACGGCTCGATAACGGGCCCAAAGGCGATGATTTGATAATTTCGTTGTTCCTCCTGCGTGACAATTGCACTGCCGCAGTGCGCCAACTGGGTGGCGGGTGCATTCCTGAGGAACTGCAACAGTTGCTTCTCGTCCGCCTCATCGGCTTTGTAGCCCATCCGTTTGGCCAAACGCTGAACCCAGTTGCGATCTGTGTGGGTTCCCCACTCGCAGAGCGCCGATCCCGATTGCAAAATGACCCGATGGAAGAGTCCTCGCGTCTGTTCCGTAAGCATCATGATGTGTGACGACGCAGCACCAGCACTTTCACCCATCAACGTTATGTTATCCACATCGCCATTGAAACTCGCAATGTTGTCGTGCACCCAACGCAACGCCAGCACCTGATCCTTGAGTCCGGCATTGCCCGGCACCTGCAAATCGCGATCCTTTAGGCTCAAGAATCCCAGTGCACCCACACGATAATTGAAGGTCACAAGCAGCACATCATGTTTCATGAAATAGTCCGGTGCGTAGATGTCACGTGTAGCTCCACCAAATTGAAATCCACCGCCATAGATCCAGACCATGACAGGCAGCTTACGCGGTGTCTCCAGCTGCTTGACATACACATTGAGGTACAAACAGTTTTCGGAGCCCTCCACGATGTTCATTATGGAATTCTTCTGCATCGGCTGCGATCTGGCATAGGTGCAGTCCCTGACACCCTCCCAGTTCTTGGCCGGTTGCGGTGCCCGGAAGCGTAGCTCACCCAACGGTGGCTGGGCGTAGGGTATGCCCTCAAAGGAGTAATACGATTCGCCATCATAGTAGGTCTTCCGTTCCATGCCCTTCACCTTGCCACATTTTGTGTCTAGCTGTTTTGAACGTCCCGTGCTCAGGCGGTACTGCACTACCTTGTGCCCAATGGTTCTGAAATATATTGGTTGTACTTTAATTTCAGTTATGGATAAGAAAAGCAAAATTAAAGTCTATTAATTTTAGCTTAATTACTTTTCCATCTAGATAGATAGATAGAGTTAAGATAAATTTAATGCACATTGTGTTTGACGTCAGGAAACTAGTTGCTTCCGAGCTCTTAAAGTTTGCCTTCCCTACTGGCAGCTAGTCAAAATCAACAGTTGGGTTCTACTATTTAAAAAAAATGAATTAATTTAGTTTAGTTGCACAAGTTTGGTTAATCTACAAATATTCAATGTGTGCTCAGCTTTGAATTATGTTTCTCATTTTCAAAAAGGATTAGTTTTAATTTATAAGCTTCGTAAACTCTTATTTTCGCTCCTATCGTTTTACCTGTCTCCATCCGTGCAGCTTGCTAATATTTGACTACCAGTTATCTTATCTAAGCAAACAATGAATAAATAATCTGCGTCACAATAAATGAGCACTTTAAGTTACCAAACCATTAATCGCGCAGACAGATTACCAATAAACTAAGGCACTTTCCACTTACTTTGCGGACAACTTGAATTTATCGGAAAAACTCAAGTGCAGATCCATAGTTCCACAAATGTATTATTTTTATATATATATATATGTAAAATATATATGTATTTCTTCTATAAATGTGATCTGTTTCAATGTTCCGCAGCACATCCAACACGTTCAGAAGCCCAACAGACACTAAAGTGCTTCTACAGCATTGAATTCACAGTGCTGACTAAATGATTAGATAAAATCGCGACAAACAGCTGGGACAGTCTAATGCAAATGTACCACATATTATTAGATTGACTGATTGTGGGTCAACTTTAATCATAATGTGTAAACAGAGAGCAGCCAAATGACTAAAGGTCAATTTGCAAATTAACATTCATAAGAACTTTTCATTCGCAAGTAGCAGATATAAACAACGCTATATGTACATTTATGTATCTATCTATATATATATATATGTGCAAAGCAACAGGGGCGGTTTTACATACACAATTAGGTCATCAAAGACTTGAGGCGCCACAGCCCCATCAACAGGCAACGTCATCAGCACAAAAATTGTCTAAAAGGCCGCTCTGTGTGCCTTAATAAGTATGTGTGTGTGTGTGTATGTGTTAAATGAATACATGTGGATATATGTTTACATATATACATATCTATATCTATATATAAAACTATGCTATGAGTCATGTGCAAATTGAACACATGCTTTTCGCAGATCCCATTTTTTCACTGAGAATTGCGTTAATAAAAATGGAAGGCAACCCAGTGTTTTAATCAGGACATTTACCTTTTAACACGATAAACATCCATAGACTTCAAATAAAGATCCATAACTCATGATAGTTATAGACTTTTAACACACTATTCAACCACAATTTATTTGTTTATTCGTTTCTTGACCCTTTTTGGGAATAAATAATTCATGTTTTATAAGTTTTCATTATATAAGTTCTGAAGCTGTTTTCAGTATAATATCAATAGAGTAGATATTTTTTTACTTGTTTTCGCTATGATTTATAGTTTATTATCGTACTGCAAGTAAAGAAAAGTCAAGAATTTTACACGCGAAAGTCAAATATAATCAACCTTTGACTTTTTATACCTAATTCGGCTCTATTTAGTACTTTTTTTTAAACTAAAATCCCTTAATAGTAATGAGGCAACAAATTCCAAGCCGCTCAACTGAGACTGAGATGTGTATTTGAATCAAAACTGATACACAATTTCGATATTCTGACTGTTGGTCATTAGTTGAGCATTTAAGACTTGATAATGCCCCCCACCCAGGGGAGGCACCTCTCAGATGTAAGCACCCATCACAGGACAGTCTGTGTCCTGTTCTTTGTTCACGTTCTGCATTGCACTAGATAAGAATCATTTGACTTGTCGCTGCTGTTGCCTTTGAAATTCGCTGCTCGACACTTGAAAGGGAGACAATAGGGAAAGAGAAAGCCGGACAGAGTGAGAGAAAGACAGAGATAGAGCAAGCTGGGCAGGTTGTCCCTGGCAACCGACTGCTTGTGACTTGAGGCACTTGTGTCCTGGCATCGTAGTTGTCTGGCGGCATTGGGGAACTGAGCAAAGTTTTGTTTATTGTCGTCGTCGTCGTCATCGTCGTCTCCTTCGTCTACTTATGTTACTTAATGTGATTATTTCACACTTGGTCTGCTTTAAACTAACATTCCATTTGCTCCTCCTCCTGCTCAGTCTCGAGAACTTGGCGTCTGACTCCGTTCGCATTTTGTTTGCTTAGCTTTGCTGTCGTTATTGTTATTGTTGTTCCCCCTGCGTGCTTAGTCCTTGAACAATTTACGCTTCTTGCTTTTTGTTATCTTAGGGGCTTGGTTGCACACACCCACACACACACACACACTATAAGCTACAAATGTAAACTTAAATGAGACAAATAAGATATGTGCATCTCATCTGTTACTCATACGACATGTTGTCAACATTAATTTAAATATTTACTTTAAAGAAGTCGCCTGCAATTACATTTAAAGCTTGCTTCCTGTTTAATTACTTTTAAATACACAAAGATTCCTTGTCGTCTTATTTGAAGCGATCTGAAACAATTTATATTGTTAGTATTCGCTCACTGAAAATATTTTTTATATTTTGCGTGCAACAGAGAAAAAAAAGCTCTTTTTTAAATTGCCATATTGACATTCGGGATGAACGAACCTCGTATTAAATTCAATTTGGCATCATCTCTTAAGCACTCTCCTGCCCCGCCCTACGATCTGCCTCACCCATGGCCTCGGTCTGTCTGCCTGGGTGTCTGTTGACGGTTGCCAGGTACACAAGTACTCAGTGTGAGCATGAGATGAATACAACTGCTGCCCTCCCAGTTCATCCCCATCCCCATTCCCATTCATTCCCCAGTTGTCATAGCATTGTGCAGATTCCGTTTTATTGTAGCATTTGTGTGCTGCTGTTGCCATCGACTAAATAAATAAATACACACAGTGCAATTTATGTATGCTTGTTTGTTTGTTTGCTTGCTCATATTTGCTGTTGTTGTTATTGTTGTGCACCGTTTACCCAGCTTTCATTGTTGCTGTTATTGCTGCTGCCGGCGCCAACTGCAACTGCAACTGCAGTCTGGGCTACGCATAAACAAACAGCACACACACACATACACATAATATATATATATATATAGAAAGTTACTATGTCCTGATGCCATCATCATCATGATTCTTGGCTCTTGGCTCGACCTCCACAAGTGCAAAACGTTTCACATTTCTCTCCACGCCTCCGTCTCTCCTCTCCTTGTCGCACGCTCGCTACGTTCGTTGTCGTCATCGACTTCGTTTTCGTCTTCGTCTTTGGATTCGCCGCGCCTCCATTGTGTTTACATGCCGCCTACTGTTAAAGGTGACGACCCGCTTTTTTTCTCTCTCTCTCTCTCTCTTTGTCGCTTCACTGCTTGTCTGCTGTCTGTTGTTTGGTTTTTGCCTTTCTTGTGCTCAATGTTTGTTTTGCTTGCCTGCCCTATTGTTTTGTTGACGTTAGCGAGAGTAGCTCGTGTACAAATTGTTTTTCCAAATGTCACACAATTTTCAGGGCTGGAGAATGTGGTTCATGAGCAGCCTTCAATATGCGAATATGAAATGATCTATGTACAATTTTAGCTTAACAGTTTTTATTTTGTTTTCATTCTTTTTGAGCCCACGAGCTAGTTCACTTTGCACGACTCCCTGGTTCCTCTTTATTATTGTTGCTGTTGTTGTTGTGCGCTCTTTTGCCTTGGTTTGTGTTTTTGTTTTTAGCATTCGCTGCTTCCAATTTGTGGCTTGTTCTCGTTCTGTTTAACTTCGGTTTTTTTTCGTAGAGTTTTGTTGACGACTCGTGCTGCTTCTGCGGCCCACGACGGCGACGACGACGGTTGCGACTGCGTTGTTTGTTTGCAGTTTTGTTTTAGCTGCCTTCGCTTTGTTTTCTTTGCGCCCGCAGCACAAAAACAACAAATAACAGAAACAGAAGCAGCAGCAACAGCAGCAGCAGCGCCGGCAACAACAATAACAATAACAGGGCTCTGGCTCTATCAGCTTTTTAGCGCGACGTCGCAGTCAGTCAGTCGTCGTCGGTTGTCGGACGCAGGCGTAAGCATTCCAATTGGGACGCATGCTTCGAACTCAAATTCCCGTTAATCATATGTGCTTGTTTATTGAGCTCGTCGTCGTCGACGTTTCGTGTGCGTGTGTGTGTGTTTGTTTGTTTGTGTAAGTGTTATCACGCACCAATTGCGGCAATCGCTTAATGAGCACTCACACTTTCAGTCAGCTGTGCAAGTGTGTGTGTCTGTGTGTAAGCATATTAAATACAAAATTGATAACTGCACGAGTGGCTGTTAAAAATGAAAGCAGTTATAAACCGACACACATACATAAATACATGCATGCATAAGCCGTGACAGACACACACACATGCATATTCGTATGTTGGCTTGTTTGTATATGTGTATGAGTGCGATTGAGTGTGTTAATAAATAAGCAAACAAAAGTCACGGCTGTCAATGCGGTTCAATGTCTCCAGCTACTACCTTAGCAGCCAAAGCAAACCAACATCAGCCAGGAGTGACATCAACAACATCAACAACATGAACAACAGTAATAATCGCAACGGTTGCCGGTAATTTTGGCATTGCCTTTCCGCAAACTGGTTTCTGTCAAAACAACAACAATCTGGCATAATAATGGCAACTGTAATCAACAAAAAAAATAAAATAGCCTTTTATTTTGTTTATGAGTGTATTATTGATAATTGATGAAGCAGCAAAAGTCAAATTTAGCAATGTGTGAAAACTGATCGTGTGAAATTATGAAAATATAGTTCAATGTTACAAAAGTGTTTCAATATAAAAAAAATACTGTTTAATCAAAAAATATTTATATGAATTAATGGAATTGTAGGGCACTAAATCTGTGCGTTGTTTTTACTTAATTCAAACTAAACAATAATAACGATAAATTTGCATAATTTATTTAGTCTGTTGTTGTCACGCTGCCATCTCTAATAAGTAGCTCTGCTTACGCTTATTAGACTTCGCCCGGCCATTTTGCAGAGTGAAATTGCTTTAACCTCTATGCGTGTTTCTCACTGTGGGTGTGTATGTGAGTGTGTATGTGTGTGTCTGTGTGAACTACATGAATGTCGTCGCGTACAGAAAGGCGCTTAAGCAAGTGCGCGCAAGCCAAGTAATAAAAAGGCGACAACAATAGCAACAAATACCGTTTACTTTGTCGTCATTCGGTTTGTGTGTGCGTTTGCGTGACACGTTTGCGTTTGTATTACCGTTTCTAAAAATAACCGTTTCATGTGCAGTCGCTGCCGTTACTGCTTATTCTTCTTCCATTTTTTTTCTCAATCTTCCTGGCCCCCGTTGCGTTGTCGTCTTTTATATTTGTATTTGTTATCGGTTATTTAACTTGATTTATTTGCGTGCGACTGTTGATTTATATCGCCCACCGTAATAATAATAACAACAAGAACAACAAGTATAGCAACCAACTTTAGACCAAGTCACACGCACATTGTCACTTAAGTGGGTCATACAA